TTGTTTGTTTGTTTGTTTGTTATTTTTTTTTGTTTTGTTCTGATTGGAATTAATGCAGGATTTTTGCAGGAGCTTTCACTTTTTGGTACTGCAGTAGCCTTGTTATTCACTGAAGTACAAACCAGTGGTTGCAGTGTTTCCAGTTCCTGGTGTCTCCTTGTAAATGTGGAGTTGTTTCAGGAGAGCTTTGGTCCCTGAAGGTGCACTTCTCCACAGGAGCTAACTCAGCTGCAGACTGACACTGGGAAGTGTGACTCTGGAGTACCCAAAAAATAAAACACAAGACACTGAGGTAGGAGAGTTCAGGACACTGGAAATTTTGGAACAGGGAATAGCAGCATTGCCCTAACCTAAGGTATTCCATTGAAATTTTACACATGTATGTAAAAATTGGACTGTGTAACTTGGACCCTTTCTGTGAAAAGTATTATTTTGCTTCTACAAAAAAAATCCCAGAGTGACTGTTGTAGGTGAGGACCTGCAAAGCTGGCAGGGAACACAGAGTGTCTGAATTGCTCCATATTCTTTAATTCCATTGTGTCTGGGAGAAATCAGGCCTTTCCCTGCCTGTGCCACCTGCTCCCACCCTTGACCAAAATCCAGGCCCCTCCATGCCTTCCTCTCAGCTTCAGTGTGAAATCTAAATTATGAAATATTCTGAAAACAGTAACAGGAGAACTTAACTTTATACTGTAAGGACCAATAAGAACAAATTCTTAATGTCACAAAATATTTCAGAGTTTCCAAGGTTAAAATGTGTTGGAGACAGTTACTTGCACATTTTATACACTCTTGATAATAGATGAAGAATGTAGCAAAAGTGGGTTGTAAGCCTTGAGCAAATGGAAGTAATCTTAAGGTTATTTTAATTTTGGTAACTGAGTCACACTGCATGTCAAATTAGGGCTGGTCTAAAATTCTGATGTTAATTTAACTTAAAGCTGTTAGGAGAATTTGTAGCTGAAATGTCTTATTCATCAAAAGTGGATTTCTATAGCTCTACTATAAAGTTATATATGAACCAATGTTGGGGTTTTTCAGCAAAAGTGAGCTGTAGCTGCCAGTCTAATTAAATTAGTACAAAATCCATTTAGATTAGCCCTTATTTACTTGAAAATAAATCCAACCCAATTCCATCCTTGCCACTGTTGTGCAGTTGTGTCTTCCTGTTTGTTGAGATTTGGTGAAGCACGTTGGATTGCAGCTTGCACAAGTTACTCCATCATCACTGCCCTGCCCTGTTTGAGATGCTTCCACAGAACATCCCTGGGTGCTGTGTCCTGAGAGCAGCTCCTGAGCAAGCCTGGGAGTCACTGCCCATGTCACCACACCAAACTGCCTTGTGTCAGGGAGTAACACCTTCTTACAGTAGCTTTATGTAACCCTGCTAAATACCTGGATCCTTGGTTTGCTCCAAAAGGAATTATTCTGACCAGTTTCAGTGCCCTGAAATTTTTTGCTTCTCCTTTGCTGTGTGGGCTTTGTTGCAGTAACAGGATAATGGGTAAATACTGACATACACAATCTTCTGCTCTTGTCTAGACTATGAAGCAATACAATTATTACCTTCAAAGACCATCAAACTGTAAAACAAATCATTGTGTCTCAAGTTTACATAAAGCTACATAGATGGTAAATCTTTCCTAACATTTCTTTATTCCACTGTCTTGTGTTTTCATGTTGAAAATACTTCTGCTTTTTCCTCTTGAGTGCCAACTTCTTACTAGAATGACTTCTTAATGTAATATGTTTACCTGGAATGTATTTTAACTATTTTTGTATAGTGTAAACTGAAACATGCACATTTTGTACATTGTGCTTTATTTGATGTGGAACATATGCAGTGTGATCCAGTTTTTCCATAATTTGGTTGTGTGACCTAGGAATGTTGGTCATGCCAGACATTAAGTTAAAAAAAGGAAAAAAAAAAAAAGACCACTGTTTGTTTTAAAATTTTTAATGTTTTTAGGAGTATGTGCTGTGAGGTGATCTGGAATTTGTCATTTTTTTGTCAAACTGTACTGCTCCTATTTATTGTAATGTAATAAAAAATAGTTATTGTGTCTGTCCCAGTTTCCTTTTCCTCTAAAAGAATTTCAGGTAACAGAGCATCCCACGAATTCCTTGTGCTTGGCACTTTTCTCCATTCTTTCTTGCACTTCTGCTGATACTGCCTGTCCCAGAGCTGCTATCCTTGCCCCCCTTGGTGTCCCTGTCTCTGACAGCAGTGGCTGCTCAGAGCAGGTGGAAGTGCAGAAGAGTTCAGTTGATGTGGAAGTTTTTCACATTGGTGTGGTGGCAGAAACTGGAGCACGTGTGTTTCATCACAAGGTACTGTACCCTGCCATCACTTTTTAAATTCTGTCCTACAATTCTGTGAGGATGGTGCTGCATCCTCCCCCTCCTCTTCAGTCCAGCTGTAACTTGAGAAATGCTCGTTCAACACCTGGGCTGAGCTTCTCTGGAGCTCTTCAGGAACAGTTCCTAGGAATTGGTGCTGTCTGCAGAGCTCCTGCTTTGTAACCAACAGTCCAGGAAACTTACTTTGCCTGCCTGAAGAAGCCCCAGTGGAACAGCATTTTTGCTTTTGAAATTTCAAAGGAAGTTACCAGCCTGGACTGTAGTCAGGATGGAAGTTTGCTGTGACTAAACCCACCTCTCTTGTGGCCCTATAAAGAGTGGGCCTGCATGAGGCCCTTGGAGCTCTCCTGGACTGCAGTGGGCAGTGACCAGAAGTCTCCATGTGTGTGCAGCCCCTTGGAGCCAGTGAACTCCTGTTTGCTGTATTTGGAGGACCAGCAGTGACAACAGCCTGGAATGATGCCCCCCTTCCTTGAGGCTCAACCCTTCAGCCACTGACAAGATGGCAAAGGTATCCAAGGTTAAGTGCTTCAGGGCAATTTTATACCTTGTGCATACTCCTTCAGGACTATGAATGTGGATATGCTGTAGAAAATGTACCATGGATAGTGCTCTCAGAGATCCTAAGTACTGTACATTTGCAAGTAGCTCAGGCCTGTGAGTGAGTTGCTGTTGTGCTTATAGGAAATTGTGTATGAATCTTTAGTTAAATTGTTTTAAATTAAATTATGGACTAAGTGCTGTTAAACCTTAAGGCATAAACCACAGGTCAGATCTGGGGCTCAGTTTCACAAGGGGGTCCACTCTGAAGTTTGTGATTCAATGGGAGCATCTCCCTTACCCATTTTATCCTTGCCTTTTTCCATCCTTATCCTTTTTGTGTCCCCAGCATCCTCAGAGATAAGTTTTGGTAGATTTTGTTTTTTTATTGATTGATTGTAGATTTTAGTTTGCTTTTTCTCTGTGCTTTAACCCCATAGTAAACAGTGAACCTTGCTGAATAGACTTTGTTACACTTTCACTTTTATATTAAACCTGGTTTTGCTGATGCCTTTGCTGGCAATTCTTTGAGTGACCTCACAACACTCCTTAGAGCCAGTGTGAAGACTTACTGAGGACTGCCAACAGCTCTACTGCAGTGATTCCTTACCTATATTTCAAAGATGGTTTCTTCCTCCAGTGTCATTTAGTTGGTGGAAACGCCAACCAGCCCAACAGAGTATCAGCTCTGACACAAGTGTGAGTTGAGCCAAGGCCTACAGACAGCCTGGAGCAAACAGCCATACCCCTCTTCCAGGGGCAAAGATCAAGTTTTCTATTCCTGCTGCAACAGTTACACAACAGCAGAAATCAGCAGTAGCAGGAATTGTCTTCAGGACCCAAGTGCTTAAAGCACTATTGTTAAACTCACCCCTTCCTGACCCCACAGTTGTCTCCCTGAGTAAGGGAGAGACACAGGAAGGTGGTGCCTCTGTAAGCTGAGCAGGTAAGGTTAAAAGCTGTAAGAACTTGCTTTCATAGAATAACCAGGATTGGAAGGGACCACTGGAGACCATTTAATCCAACCCTCCTGCCCAGGCAGGGTCACCTGAAGCAGGTGACACAGGAACAGTCCACGTGTCCAGAGTTTGGGATCCACAGAGGAGACTCCCCACCCTCCCTGGGCAACTGTTCAGGGCTCTGCCACCCTCAGTGTACAGAAATTCTTCCTCATGCTGAGGCAGAGCTTCTTGCATTACATTTATGGCCTTTGCTCCTTGTCCTGTTGCTGGGTACCTCTGAAAAAGAGCCTGGGTACTGTCCTCTTCACACCCACCCTTGAGACATTTATATGCATTGATGAGATGCCCCTCTGTCTTCTCTGGACTAAACAGGCCCAGCTCATGCAGTCCCTCCTTGTAAGAGATGCTCCAGACCCCTCATGTTTATGGTCTCTGCTTGATCCTCTCCTGTAGCTCATCTTTCCTGCACTGTGGACACCAGAACTGAACACAGTACTTCTTCTCCAGGGAGGGAACCTCACTTCTGAGAGGTTGCTCATTTCCAGAAGGAATAGATCATTCAACATGGAGGATTTGTAATCAGGTTCATCTTTCAGGTAACAAGCACTGCACCTTGAACTGACACACAAACACACAGCTACGGGGTAAGAAGAGTTTCTGTTCAACACATACATTGAAGAGAAACAAAACAGGACTGTGCAACCACTCCTTCCTGCAAAATCCTTTCATACCTGAAGTTTTAGTTTGAGGAGGTCAAAAGCAGCACAGGAAAACTTATTACCCATAACCTGCACACCGCAAACCCTTCAAGTGACCTCTGGTGGGAAAGCAGCTCCCTCATTTGTGCTGTAGAGGGGTTGGAAGGATTTACATGTCACTTCTTTGCAGTTAGAGCTCTTTTATTGTTACCTTTCCTGGATGTGTGTGGTTACAGGCAGCACAGTCAGGGCTTGTCGTCACTGTAGTAGCGCTTCTTCATGGCTCGGTATTTCCTCAGGAAGTACAAAGCCTCCAGCTCCTTTATAACAAACTCTCCCCGGGCAATCAGCTGCTTAATTTTTGCAGGGTCTGTCTCATCTTTGTTTTTTAGAAAAGCTGCTTTCAAACGGCTTCTGAAGTAGTCTGCTCCTTTGGGATACTCCCTTCCAAGGTACAGCAGCTTGGAGAAAAAAAAAGAATAATAATGTGTTTTTAATTAACTGAGTGCACAGTCAAAGGGGGGTTCAGTTTCTGGTTAAGGAAAGTGTTGGTGGTATTTAAGACACTTACATTTTTGTACAGTTTTATCACTTCACCTCTTAAAGAATTGGCCATTCTCACATTTCAGTGAACTCTGTCCTTGTGTGATCTTTTTGGTTTGTTTGGTTTTTGTTACCTGAAGGATAATCAATTTCAAATTAGCCTTCTCTGGGTGTCAGTAAACCATCTCAGCCTTCCTAAAACTTCTGTACCCTACCAAGCCCCGTTTGCTGTGATTCTGGTTCTACTCTGTCTCTTCTTTTTTTTTTCTTTCCTATTTTTCATTCTATTTAGCTTCTCATTGTCTTCTCCCATCCCCCCTCAAACAGAAAACAAGGAACTTTCTAATAACTTTCAACAACTGGGACACTTTGTGCTGTTCATTGGCTGCTTTCTTACACCCTTACAACTCTGCACCTGCTGGCCTGGCTGCTTCTGTGGTCTGCTAAAAAGCTCGCTCTATCTATCTATCTATCTATCTATCTATCTATCTATCTATCTATCTAATCTATCTATCTATCTATCTATCCACACTCACACATATAGAGTTGTAAAGAGATCTAAATAGAATACATATTTATGTATTTTATATATTCATATAGCCATGTTTATAAAATTTTGATGTGTTTATCTCCATATATAATTTATGTATTACATATGCCTATAGTCTATATATAGATATATCCATTTTATACATATACATTTACATTTCTGCAACTGTCACATTCATAAATTTTGCTTTTTTAAGGTCTCTTTAAGTGCATTACAAATTGAGTCCAGTGTGGGCCGGGAAAACATAAGGATAAGTGACAAGTAGCTGATTTTTATTTCTGTAAACACAAAATCACGGCATAGTGTTGGAAGTGATCTTAAAGATCATCTGGTCCCACCCCCGGCCGCGGGCAGGGACACCTCCCGCTATCCCCGCTTGCTCAGAGCCCGTCCAGCCTGGCCCCGGGCACTGCCCGGGACGGGGCAGCCAAAACCAAATCACAAGCGACTGGAATGCATCCAGCTCCCGCCGCGGGGCCCGCTCGGGCCGCCGCCTCCCCCTGGCTCTGCCTGCAGCCCCGCTCCCCCCGGAGCCGGGCTGGGATCTCACCGCCGCTCCCGGAACCGCCGCCGCGCCGCTTTACGGCAGCGCCCGGCCCGAGCTGCGCCTGCGCCGGGGCTGCGGGCGGGGCCGCGGCCGCCTGAGGGACCCGGGCGCCGGCGTCCCGAGGGACGCGGGATCGCATCCCGAGGGACACGGGCACCGCCACAGCGTCCTGAGGGACCCGGGCACCTGCGGCGGGACATGGTGGGGCGGGGAAGGGACCTGGGGTACGGGTGGAGATGAACAGGGGAAAGACGGTGCGATGGGGAAGGATGAAGTGCTGGAGTAAAGCGGGGTGTGCCATTTTAGCTGCCGAAGTCCCAGGGGGTGGGAAAAGGCTCTGAGGGTGAAAGAAGCACGCGAAGGACGCGTTATTTTATCGCTGGTGTGAGCCCCGGTGTAAGTCCTTGTGCCGTGGTTTGCCGCTGTGGTTCCGTGTGGGACCAGCCGGGAGGTGGCTCACACTTTGCTGCCAGAATGGCTCCGTGGTTCCAAGAGTCATGTGTTCCTGGCTAATTTTCTGCAGTATTGGAATTCTTGTCATTATAGTTTTTCAATAGATGGTCACATCTAATTTTAACAGAATGGTAGTATTTTTCTAATTTTTCCTTACTGGTTGGAACGTTGTTGTCTCATGTTCCCTTTCCCTTTTTTTTCCCCCCCTTCTGATCTTTTAGGGTCCGAAAAAAAAGGTAGGTAGGCAGAACACACTGTAGTTCACTGTTGTGTTTATTTTTTTTATCTGATTTTTTGTTTTTTTCCTGAGGCAGCTGGCCAGGGTTAATGAATCTGAAGGAGGGACAGGTGTCTCGAGGATACCGAGCTTTTGTGCCTTTAGCAGGGAAGCCAAATGTTCCTGCAGCGCTGCTGGAGGGAGCATGGCCAGTGCAGCCACTGCTTGTTTGGCTTGGCAACGGGTGCCCAGGGAGAGAGGCGTGTGCTGGCTCTGTCCCAGCCGTGGGGTGCCAGCAGGACCAGGACAGTGACTGTCCCCTGTGCTGGGCACTGCTGGAGCCACTCTTCGAGTCCTGTGTCCAGTTCTGTGGCTGGCACTGCAAGATGGACACTGAGGGGCTGGAGCGTGTCCAGAGGAGGGAACGGAGCTGGGCAAGGGGCTTGAGCACTGGGAACAGCTGGGGGGGCTCAGCCTGGACAAAAGGAGGTACAGGAGGCACCTTCTGGCTCTCCACAACTCCCTGACTGGAGGGGCAGCCAGGGGAAGTCAGGGGAAGACTCTGCTCCCAGGGCTCAAGGGACAGGACAAGAGGAACGGCCTCAAGCTGTGCCGGGAAGGGTCAGGTTGGACATCAGCAGGAATTTAATCACAAAAGGTTTGTCATGGAAGGGGCTGCCCAAGAAAGTTTGGAGTCCCCATCCCTGGAGGCCCAAGGAAGGCCTGGATGTGGCACTCGGTGCTCTGGGCAGGGTGGGGGTCGGGCACAGCTTGGACTTGATGATCTTGGAGGTCTTTTCCAACCTGAATGTTTCTGGGATTCTGTTATTTGAGCCATAGGCTGGACACAAAATAAGGGGGGTGAATTGACAACAGGCAGAAGTCCATGGGAAACTGAATTGCATAAATTTATCCTGTGGGTTATTCTTAATTAATTGATAATGAATTTATCTACCTCTCCCCAGCTGTGCATCTCACTCTTCTCAGTGCTCTGTTAAGTCATAGGAATGTGAAAAAAAATTGACTAAAACATTATTGCAAGTAATTGAAACAAGCAGGTTTTCTATTTTTAGTTTCTTTATTTATTTATTGAAGTGAAAAGAACAAATTCTTCCCTGAAATCCTAATGGGTAGAAGTGTTAGTTTTACTGATTCTGTTTTGGGATAATTTTGCAAATGAATGCTTTGGTACCAAATGCGATAAGATGCACTCAGACTCTGGTGGCACTTAATTGTCACCATTGTATTTGTCCCAGCTTCACGGCAACCTCTGTACTCAAAGTTGCATTTATATATATATTTATGGCAATGTATTTATTGCCATGCAAAGTAGTGTGAAATAAACAAGTAGTTATTTATATCTGAATGTGTGATAGTCTAAATCAAAGTGTGAAATAAGTGTGTGAAGAAGGATGGACCAATGGTCACATAATTTCTGAGAACCTCAGATTTAAAATACAGTTACTCTAGGATTATGGTGGAGGTGAACAGTGAACTGTCTGGAGTGAGATTTTATAACAGAAAATATAACTCTTTTCTATTTTGTCTTGTGAATTAGATACTTCCAAATGCCAGGCTTGTCCCAAAATACATTTTCCTGTATTTCCTACAATGTTTGAAGTTGTAGCATCTACTTTCTTAGCATATCTGCCTATTATTCAATTTCTACATTAGACCAAAAGATTTTAATACTCTCATGCTGTGGCTGTGTTTAGGAATGTGTAGCATAGAAAAAATACATTAATTTTAAGACCTTATCATTAAAAAAAGAAAGAAAATGAGTCCAGAATGTGCATTACTATTCTGAGGCCTTCCTTGGCTATCTAGGGAGTCTAAAATTTTAATTGAGGGATAACATTGGAAGGTCAGAGTTACAGTGATGGAACTACCAAACTGTATTAAAATAATACTGACATTTGTTTTCCTCTCCCTTATTGCAAACATGAAATCTGATGGCAAAAAGGAATCGAAGAAAGAAAAGGAAAAGAGGCTGAAAGGTACTTTGCATTTCATTTAGAGGGAGTATGATGGACAAATGGTTCATTTTAGATAAATGGGCAGAAGGTAACTTCCTGAACTCTATATGAATTGCTATCTCTGTTTCACAAATGGAAGTGTTTCTTCCCTCTTTCCTGTTGTGGGCCAAACTCCCTGTTCCTTGATGCTGCATCTCACTTCCCTATCAGAGCAACACTCTCTGCTGTAGTTACTCCTACTGCAGTTGGGAAGTTGGGAAGAATTAACTTGCCATTAATCCATCCTGGCAGGGGCTTGGGCCTACTGTGCTTGCCAATAACTGGTAAGCTTCTGTGGTGGGAATAGAAGCTCAGGTGGGCATAGGCAGATTTGGAAACTGCTGCTGCTCTTGCCTTAGTGCAGCACATGCTTGACGTGATTTAATTGGAGGTCACTGTTTGGGAACGTCTGGGTTGAGGCACAGGCTGTGCCATCTTAGGCTGAAGGCTTAGAGGTTGAATCAATTTTAGTTTTCACATTCTCTCTAATTTTCTAGTCCCTATGACAGCAAAGAGAAGCCAGAGATGTGGAGTAGCAGATCCTGAAGTGGATTTCATTAAAAAAACAGCATAAAATTGAAACTGTAGGAAACCAGTGGTTGTAGGAAAGGAGAATTTGGGATTAAAGCACTGAGTTTCAGTCAAGGCTTTGGGTTGAGAACTTGTATCCATTGAAGCTGTAGATGGAGAGAGCACTCCTGCTGCTGTACTTGCTGGTCCTTGTTTCCACTTTTATCCTCACAGGCTGATGGGGCAGTGCCAGAGACAGTGTTAGTAGATGGTTTTAGTAGTATTCAAATTAATTTGGATCCGTCTTCATATGGGATATTTCTGTGCAGTGAAAGATAAACAGTTATGTTGCTCATTTTATAGTGGTTTTACCATTACAGCTGGTAACAAAATGATCTCTTAGATTTTATTTAGGAAGTCATATTTATGCCCTTGATCTCTTTCCCAATCCTCAGCTGAAGCCCTATTAAGAGCTCAACAAGAAGAAGTAGAAAGACTTGAAAGGGAGAGACTGTATCAAGAGCACTTGGAAAAGCTTGAGGCAAAGGTTAGTCTTTTACTCAATGAAAAATTCTAATCCTACTTCTAAACATGAGACGAGGCATGTAAAACACCATTAATTTGTAGGAATTAATTTCCTTATGTTGTTATTGTTGGGAACAGTATTGAGGAAATTTTCCAGTTTTGATAAATTTAAATACATTACCTTTTGTCATATGTGTTTCTTAAGTTTGGTTAAATGCCTTCCCTCCCCTCCCCCCCATTTCCACTGTGCTTTCAATTGAATGTATTTTTCATATTCCCCATGAGGATGTTTGGTACAAATTCCTTAACTGGTTCCCAGTTCAGGCAGATACAGTGATTTTTATTTGTATATATATGTGTGTGTATTAGATTATGTATATTTATTTTTCTGAACAATCTGGCATTCAGAACAAAAACTGATGATAGATAACTATTTTTGTGTTAAAAAAAAAAGAGATTTACAACAAACTAAATTTTTTTGAAAGAGTCACTCTTGTCTACTCCTCTTGTACTTCACAGAATATTTTTTCCTCTTAGGGAGAAGATGACCTTAAAATAATAGAAACTAAAAGGGAAAAAGTAAAACAATCTTGCATGTTTTTTCCAAATTAAGCTTACATTTTCTAGCAGCTGCCATTAGAGCTGGCTCCAGGAGGCTGACAGGGAAACTGTTGAAGTGAGAGGTTGTAGTCATATGTCACATTATGTTTATCATATGGCTCAGCAGCTACTGTGATGACAATAATATTGTGAACTACTGCAGCCTTCTCAATTGGATGTTTCATTTAAAAAGCAAGTTTTCAGTGTTTGGATTTGTTTAAATAATAATTCATTCAAATATCCCCAATTTGTTTCTTCTGTGTAAAATAATTGTAAGAAATAAGCCAAATATTTAACTGCTTTGTTTGATATATATATTTTTTAACAGTATCAAGGAGAGAGGGAGTCTGAACTAGCAGAACTTAATTCACTGGAACAGAAGTTTCTTTCTGCACAACAGTGGAAAATTAATTACAGAGAACAAGCTAAGGTAAGCTTTCTTGCAAAATCTGCCCAGAGGTTTGGCAAGGAAGAGACTTCAGGAGCTTCCAAGGAATGTATGTGTGTGCTATGACAGCATTTCAGATTCCATTCAAAGCACTGTTAGGCCATGCTCACTCCATCTTCTTTACTGTGGAGCACACAGACAAGAAATGTGGGCAAAGAGGAGCCTGTTTGGTGATCAAAGTATGAATGCCCCACACCTTACCCCAGCAGCCACAAGGAATTGTAATTTCAGATGTTCTTGTACCTGTTCTTCCTCTTATTTCTTTAATTCATTCTGCTTTTAACCATTTCACAAAAAAAGTTGTGCCAGGGCTTAAAAAGAAATTCTGTAGAACGTTTGTTTCCGTGGCTCCTTGATATCACAGGTAATCGTTCAGAGAGAGAGAAGTTTGCCAGATTCTTGAAGGATGTGGCACAAACCCAGGTCAGGGCTGGAAAAGTCTGAAAATGCCGCTAAAAGTTGATGTCTGCAGTTTAGGGTGACATCCATGGTGGTTGAATCATCACCCAGTGGCATTATTTACCTGTCAAGTTCCATTTGAAGTGGTAAGGTGTGGAAATACAGTGGATTTCACTCTTGAATCTTACAGACGCATTACTCAGTTAAAGTCTGATAATGACATTTGGTCAGGTAAGGAATCAAAGGTTTAATCCTACAGGCTTGTGGACACAAGGATTTTGCCTTGTGTATTGCTTAATCTTGTTAAAGTCTCTGCAGAACAGCTTCACAATCATAGGATAACCCATCTCAGAGAAGACTTCTGAAATTCCTGCAGCTCAACCTGCCGCACCAAGCAGGGCAGTCTGAAGTTGAATCAAGGTGCTCAGTTGAGTTTTGAAATATTTAAAACTTGGCGGTATTACAGCATCTTTGACAGCTTTACCACTCTCACTGTAACTATTTTTCTCTGGATGCAATTGGCATTTCCCTGTTACAGGTTGTGATCATGGTCAGTTGTTGTTTGTGGATGTTTTTGACAAACTAGAACTATTGATTTAAAAATAGATCTGATAAAACACTGGTAGATTATGGGAAATACTAGAGTTCCTTTTAGTCTGTTGTTAAGCTTATTTAGGATAAAATAAATACATAATACCAAATACTGAGTTTCTGCATCTATTTCTGAATAATTTCAGTTCAGATGAAGACATGCATTTACAACTTAGCATGAAATCTATCCTTTTTCTTGAAAAAAAGAGCTGTTACTTCTAAGAATGTGATGATAAAAGTGAAGCTCTCTTTTAAGTGCAAAGATGTAAAAAAAAGAAATCAGATGTCTTACTGCTGAAAATTGATCAGTCTTCTATGCAGGAGTTTCCAAGTGCACTCAGCACTCCCATATTGTTGCTTTGTTTGAAGTCAGTGGGAATGCTGGTGGAAGTGGTTGGGAATGCAATCCTATAAGTGCTTTTGCTTTAAAAGATACATTTTCCTTTGCAATGCAATTTTCAGTAACATGGGGTTATTAATCTTCACAGCAAACTTGGGGGCAATGTTTTTTAAATACCCTATTCTATGGATAAAAAAAAATTCCATTATGGGTGATAAATTGATCCCATGAGGCAATGTCAGGTTTATGTTTGGTATTAAGCGGGTTTAGTCTGCCACTGATTTTTTCCTTCCACCTCTTATAGGAATGAGCAAGAATTGGTTTGAAAATAAAATTATTTTTAAAAAATCCTAATGCAGGATTTCACATTCCTACCAGAGGTTTCTGCAACAGGAGAATTCATGCTGGTAAAGGAGAGGAAATCTCCTTCAGAGGCAGAGAAAGGAGGAGGAAAAATGTTTCAGTAGAGGCTCTTAAGCAACTTCACTGCCAGTGTATGAATTTTCAGTTTTCTTGGCAGAATCTGATCTGAGACCCACCTTCCTCTTCCACCTGCATCTTCCTCATTTCTGTTCTCAGTCAATTTATTCTTCCAGTCCCTCCCTTGTGGCAAGTACTAAATTCATTGTTTTTGTGGAACAGAGCAGAGCCCACTGATAAATAGGTATGAACAAGTGTGAGATGGGCAGAAGCATCTTAACACACTAATATCAAAATAAACCTTTTTTTCCTGGCATAGGGATAATAAAGAAGGTGGTGTTAGAATCCTGTTTAGATGCAGGTGTGAATTTGTCACTATAATGTATTTGTCTTTCAGAATCCTCCTTTTTCTTGTAATAGCAGTGTGCAGCACACCTGTATCCACTTTTCTCTGAACTCTTCTGCAGTGGGAGCACTACCTCAGCTGTGATGGGACTCCTGACCCCACTGTACCTCAGGAAATCAACACTTTCATGAGCCTGTGGCGTGATGAACAAGATGAGGACGTTCAGCTTGTGATGGAGAAGGAGGAAGTGGTGCTAAATGTCAGTGTTAAAATGCTGTATTTCAGTTTAAGCTTAACATTTCCTTAATAGGCCCCTCTAACTCTGTTTTCCCTTTTTTCATGACCAAGTGACTGAAAGACCTTCAATACCTAGAAGTTTTTCTTAAATTTTTGTATTTTTCTTTCATTACAGATTTGTTGTTAACCCTAAAGAAGATGTGTATTGACTTCCAATATGCATTTAAGGGATTTGTGTGCTGTGTTCCTACACTGAGGTCTATCATTCCAACACACATATTCCCTTCCACTTTAAACCAGAGCATACAAGCTCATGTCAGATATAAATGCTTTGGTGGACAACAGCCTCATTTTCTAACACTTGAGCCAGTAAAATGTCATGTAAGAGCAAAAGTTCCCAGAATTTATTTCTACCAACAGAAGTCACCAGCCACTGATAGCTTGTGAAGCAATTTTAAGCAATCTGTGCCTGCTCTGTAAATTTAGGATTTAATTTTCATTTATGCTGACTTTATGGTGTTTTTCAGAAAGTTAAATGGGGTCTTCTGTAATCCGGGGGGGGGAAGTTGCATGGGTAATATAGGTTTCATTGTGTGGGTTTGATTCTGAGTTCGATTTCTTATCTGTCTATTAAAAAAAAAAAAATATTTTTGTGACCAGAATCTGTTTAGGTGCAAAGGAAGTAGTTTTGCTTCATCTTTTATGACAGAAAACACAGTATGTTAAGGATGGTATCAAAACAGATACTTTTCCCATGTAAATGTCTTCTAGTTGATTGAGAAGTTGGAGTTTCTTCTGCTGGAGGCATCCCCAGAAGAGATCACAGACAAACAACGAGACCAGTACCAGGAAGTTATTCTGCAATTGCAGGATCTGCTTCATCAGAAGTTCAATGATGCCACACAGAACCTGCTCAAAGTGAGTGAGATCTAGTGCTTTAAAGCTGTGATATGTGCACATAAGGTAACTTCAAGTGTCCTTTAATGATGGTTGGCTCTGTTTGGTCCTAAACTGTCACAGAGATGAGTCTGTGAGTTTCCAGATCATGTTTATAGCAGTCACCAGACTTTGTCATTGTTCAAAACTCCTGCAAATCTGAACTTTACAGTGGAAAATCTCATAATTAAGTCAGACAAGAATAAACTACTGGGAAACTTTGTGAGATTTTGGGGATGATGAAAACAAGAGGTGCTGTACGAAATTTGTTCACTGTACCAAAAAAATGTAGATGTGAAAAACAACTCATAAGGTTGCCTTGTACACATTTTTTTAATACAAGTTTGTGTAATTAAAAATATTTTTAAAACTAAGATCTTGGGAAAGGTGAAGAGTACTCAAATAAGAAAATTAAATTGTGCTGGAGAGTCAGTTTTTTGAGCTGCATCTTCAGGCAGTGACCTTGCTATTTCAAAAATATTAATCATATATATAAAGCATGTTTAGCAAAGGAATATTAGTGAAATAGTGAACCAGTTGTATGTGCACAGTCAAAACCCCTACAAAATAGACATGTTAAGTTCTTGTTGATTGAATTTAGGATTAATCTCCTAATATAATTATTATTTCACAAATTTGATGTTACCTAAATGATAAAATAATCCGTGCAGTGACTCTGGGGTAGAAGTCCATTATTGCTCAGTAAGTCCTTTTTTTGTTTGTTTTTTATAATTTGTACTGAGAATTAGGAAAATAATGGAAGAACCTTTATTTGGCAGTACTTGGCTCACAGAATTGATGAAGTCAGAGAAAAAAGCATTGTAACTAAAATTTTAAGCAATAGATTTGAGTTTATAACTGTTGTGCTTTAATATGTAAATATAACACAGCTGGGCTTGATCTGCTATATTTGCATTCTTAAGTGTATTATTTATTTATTCAAGTTAATGTAGGTAAATCAAAGTAAAATATATAACAAATTCTTTAATTGGCTTTTTTCTTTGTAGATAGCTAGTATGTATGAAGATTCTGAAACTGGGAATATGCACACAGTCCTAAAGGATGAAAACATTACTTTCTGTATTTGGGTCAATCTGAAGAAGAAAGCAAGGTACAGCACACTGAAATTATTAATTTGAAATGAGGCCTGGCCTTGCTGAGTAAACACCAGAATCAATCTCTCATAATTTTTTTTTTTTTTTTTTGTTGAATAGCATCCACTCTGCAGACTCTCACTGCTGGCTGTTGCTAAGGAATGATTTAGAGATATATAAATTTCTTTATTAGAATGCAGCAGCAGAACCCTTTCACTGCCAGAACAAATTTAAAAGAAAAGCAGTAAAGCTCATGCAGAGGATTGAAATTCCTCTGGAAGCAGTGTTTCTTGCTGGTGCATTTAATATTTTCTAAGTTATTCCAGTTGCTTGTAAAGCAGTGAATGTTGCTTTGTGCTCAGTTAGAGAAAATATTTTAGAGCCTGGGATGCACTATCATTTCTGAATCTAAGTGTTGTGTTTTTATTGGATTACCATTTAAATGGTACATTTTCAAAATGAAATTTTTCAGCAGACTTCCTACTCCCACTCATAAACGTAAGGAATAAGTTATTAAAAGGACTTTAGCTTGACTAAGGACCTGTTGCTGTGAGTTAAGATAAGTAGAAGGGTGGATGCTGAGTAATATCAGACTGACCTGCAAGAAGAGCCCACATGGGGTAAGTGTTAAAATCTTTAGGCCAGCAGAGAGATGCACTTAAATAATTCAACCAAAAATTAAAAGTTAAATGTTGCTTTACTGGAAAATTTTTAGAATTTGCGACCAGCTTATCTTACCCAAAAATAAGTATTGTGTGAATTATTTTGAAAGGTACTGAGAGTGATATAACACAGACAGATGTGCAGGGATTTTCCCAATAAATTAGTCAGTTTTACCAGGAATGTAGTTTCTAGAAGAGTTGCCATCTGATCCTGCCTCGCTGTCATCCTGTCAAGACTTATTTTTGAAACTTCTGATCTCCTTGATGCAGTTGTGGCTTTGCTGGAGGGTCTTAGCTGTCAGCACAAGCACTCTTGATACCCCACAACATTTCTCCAACAGTGCAAAAAAATTCCCAGAGATTGTACCATTTGTAAGGAAACACCAATGAAGTGCTGGCAGCCTCAGCAGGCCTGTTGCTGTTGTCGCTGCCCTTGCCCAGGTTCAAGAGCCACGTGTTCCAGGAGGCAGGGCACGGCTTCGAGCTGCCCAAGGCCCTGGCTCTGAGCAGCGTGGCCGTTCGCGTGCTGCACACCCGCTACGACCACGTGTCTCCCCTGTGGGTGCAGTGCCAAGGGCTGCCAAGGCAGGAGGCCTCAGACAGCATGGAGTTAGCTGAGCATCCAGAAGACACTGGGCAAGGACCAGAAGAGGAGGAGGAAGGCAGGGAAGAACCCAACACGCCTGCTGCAGAAGAAACGGGTTCTAAGGGGAGAAAGGTGGGTAAAAACCTCCTCTGCTCTGCTCTTGTAAACTTGAGACTCAGTCACAGTGTCCTGTGACAGCCAAATCCTTAGATGTTTCATAGGAAAAGGCAACTTGTGTCAACAGTGCAATAGATTTTCTCAAGGGAATGCAAAGATGGAAAGCAGAAAGGGGAGTTCGGACAGGGTGTGCAATTGGCATTTGGTTGGTGGTTTAAGAGAAGGATCAAGCATGAAGTGCCATGCAAGGTATTTCTGTAAATCTCTGGCATAAGTACAGAGGAATGGATTCTGCTTCTGCAAAACTAACAGCCCCACAAAATCCCTGCAGGAATCCAATTTTAGGAAAATTTGCAGCATGCAGAGTAAGATTGAGAGTTCAGAAGGTGCTGACTGTTCCATGTCTGTGTACTAACCCTTTTCTGTTAGAGCGTTTTCAAATAAACTTCTGGGTGCCTGTCCTCTTCCTCAGCTCTCTTCCATGGAGTATGCTGGTTTTAGGTGTGATGGATGTTGCTTGGTTTTATGTTGTACATACTGCATTTGGGATTTTCACTCTGTGTATCACCTGTGACTTTCAAATAAACGCCCTGTGTTTCTCTATTTAAAATTTCTGCAGAAATAATTGACAAGTTTCAGGCCTTCCTACTATGTTTGGAGCAATTCCACAGGATATTCTGAGTGGAAAGGGACCCACAAGGATCCTTGAGTCCAGCACCTAAGTGAATAAATTCTCGGATCCATACAGGGAACAAACAGGGGTTGAACCTCTGTTCATGATCATGGCTTTTCTCCTTTGCAGTCCCCAGTACCTTTGTAATGAATTGGTGCTTGAAATCCTGCTTCTCTTGGTTCCTTTTTTTCCTTTTTTTGTATGACAAATCTTGTCTTTTGGTACTTTTCACCTACATTTCTCGGTCTTTCTTTAAGCTGCTGCATTTTATTCCCTCTCTTTATTTCCCAGGTCTTGGAGCTCTTTCTCTCAATCCATTCTGAATTTTCCTCTTCCCTCTGAATGCTCCACTCCTCTCAGCTTCTGTCCCATCACCTCCTGTCCTGTTTAAGAAGACGTGTGTTCTTCCACATGCTGGCAGGCACAGCCAGGGCACAGAAGGGCTGTGCCTCCAGAGGAGTCTGCTGTGGCATGGTTGAATCCCTGTCTGGGTTGGATATTTGTCTGCAAATCCAGGGGAATATTCCTCAGCATCTTCCTGTTCTGGCTGTGCCTTGAGCTCTGCCTCATTCCTGTGTGGAAATACACTGAAATGCAGTGTGAAAAGGAATAAATATCATTGGCCAGGCACAGGCCAAAGCTGCAGGTGGGGTTCAGGCAGAGTTTCAGTGTTGGTTTGGATTCAGCCTCAACTTGCATTTTACTTTGTGCCACTCTGCTGGCTGTAAAATCAGCAAAACCAAAACTTGAGTGCACACTCTGCTGGAAAAGTGCTGGGTGCTTGTTTGGTACTCAGGGAACTCAAGATGGAATTTGTTGTGGAAATGAAGTAATTACTTTGTCTCTATAAATCCAGTTCCAAATTAGAGAGTACCCTTAGTGTGTTTTTGATCACTAGGTACAATTATTTCTCTTAAAACCTTGACCCTGTAGCAAGATGGGTCCTTCTCCATGGGCCTCCTTGAAGGAGGTGATACCTTCTTCTTCATTGTGTTTGTCTTTGACTAATGGAAAAATGTCTCTTGCTTTTTGTCTAGGAGAGTGCTGCCTCACTGAAAGAAAACAGCAATAACACAGCTGATATAAAAGAGACAAAGGAGGAAACTGAGAAGAAATCAGACATTTTGGATGTGCCATCACAAGGTATTTGGTTATTTTTTATGTGCAGTACTACAAAAGTACTTAGGCTAAGTATTTTATGTGTTAAAAACTGTTCCCTCTGAGTGTAGGGAGGCACAGGTTGCCCAGAGAAGCTGTGGCTGCTCATCCCTGGCAGTGTCCAAGGCCAAGCTGGATGAGGCTCTGAGCAACCTGGGATAGTGGAAGGTGTCCGTGGGGCTGGAACTGGACTTTAATTTATAAAGTCCCTTCCAACCCAGGCCATTCCATGATCCATGGAAACACTACAATATATCCATGTGAATGGTGCAAAGTTTATAAATATAGGGATGTTTTCATAACACTTGAGTTTTGTTGACATATCTAGTAATGAATGTTAAATCATGTGGGGAGATAACAGGACAGATAGGAAAATGGAGTTTGTCCCCACACTTATTTTTATTTGTTTATTATTTATGCTAATGTACATGTTCATCATGTTTATATAGATATGTGTATTATTTTACATATGTTTATGGGTGAGACACACAATCTTTATGAATTTGCCAGGCTCTGGGGAGATTTAATTCCTCAGAAAATGATTATTCCAATGCATATCATGTTAGGCATTGGTGTAGTGTGGGGAGTTACTGAGTATTACCTAAATGGATGCTTTAAGTGAGAGGGCCTAATTCTAGGAAATGAAACTGTTTGTCTGTCCCACATAAGTTACAAATGTCTCCAGTGTTGTGGTGTTATCCTTTTGAGTTTTCTTGTACTACTGACTTAAATAAAAGAACTGAAAAGAGCTATTAGCATAATTTAGCTCCACTTTACAGCCCTTTTCTTCTGGTTAAAAAACAAACCCCACCCCACAACACTTTGGATGGAGCACAGTCCAGAGAACCAGTTGTCAGACTAGACCCAAAAAGCAAGGTTTTCAAGAGAATATAAAGGACTTAGGCGTCATGTGGAAGAATTTGTATTTTATTTCTGTCAGGCTTTTTAAAACCCTACCACAGTATTAGGTGAGTGGATGTGCACAGATAGCAATTATACCTGAGTGTTTTCCAGCTTGTTCATCTGTTTTAATAAGGAAAGAAGGAAAAAACTGATTTTTCTGTCATGCTCATGATTTGCAAACTCTTTCAACCACTTTTGAGAACAGCAGTGAAAGGATGCTCAGTTACCTTAAGTTAAAACATGGAGCCAGGTAAATGAGGGTTAAAAGCCAGAAATGCAACAACAGAGAGGAGTGACAGTTTCTCTGGATTTACCCTTATTGTGCAACTGTTAGGGAGATAAATTACCTTGGGACAATAAATAGTTTCTTTAGAAGATACGTAGATATTTTTGTATTATTATTTTAAAAAACAAATTAAAGTATAAGCTACCACTGTAAAATGCAGGAAAATGTTTTTTACTTCTGGTAAGTTTGTTCAGAATAACTGTAAAAGGACATTCTGGTGGTGTGTGATACAGTAGAGTAAAACCTCTGAAGAATGTAACTAAATCTGACATAAAATTAACACCATTTCCACTTTTTTTTTTTTTAAGCTTGAAGACAATTTACAGAGCGCATTCTCATTTTTTTATATGGTGTTATTCTCTCAGAGCAAATTTCATAACAATTACAGTAGCTGTTTTTACAGTATTGAACACTTTTTTCTTGATTCCTGTCAACAATAACTCCTTTCCTTGTGTACCATCCCTTCTGATGTTTTATGCGGGCTGGTTTGGCTTTTTTAAAGAAAGTATTTATGGCCTTGTTTTCCACAGTGTTTCTGCCTTCTACTAACATTTTCTAGCTAATTAAACCTTAAGTTCATACATTTGTGATATATACATAATTATGTATAGGAAAAAAAGGAATTATCTTTGTTATCTGAAAATTGTGTTTCGTGTTAAATCCTCTTGCTCTTCCTAATTACCATGTCTTTCACCTTCAGCACATGACTTCTTAGTGCCTTATTTTTATATAGCTCTTTATTTGCTTCATTTCTTTTCATATCAATACAATCTTACTAAACCTGTCCAGAGTCTACTGTATTACTGTGCTTGTGAAATGCGTCTGTGGGTAATAATGGACTAATTTTGTCAGTGAAACCCTGTTCCCATAGAAAGCACTACAAAGGCAGAAGCTCATCCCCAAAGGCAGAGGCGTTTCTATGGCCCAGCTCCTGCTGCCCGCACCTTTGGGTGCTGCTGAGGAGCACCAGCAGATGGGGCCGGAACGCTGCGAGCGAAGCGCTCCCAGTGCACAGCGAGACTCGGGAGCGGGAATGTAGGGGAGTTTGATCACCCGGTCACTCCTGCTGTCTGGTGAACTTTTCAGAGGAGGATGCCCTGCTGCAGGAGGAGCCAGGAGGCAGAGAAGAGGCACCAAAAGCTGTGGATTTGCAGCAGCTGATGCCCGTGGGGGGTGTGTTCCACATCTCTGCCCTGCAGCTGCCGCCCCAGGCCCAGGACGTCGGGGACTGGAGCATGGTGGAGGTGAGGGAGGAGAGGGATCAGTCCCCGATGCCCCTGAGGAGCTGCTCCCGAGGTTTCTCACTGCTGTCGCATGCACTGCATACGACTTCCTGAGCAGCAAACCAATCAGGCAAGGTTTGCAAATCAACAGGTTTCATTTGTGAAGGGTAAAAGCAGAGTGGTGCCAAAAATCCCTGCTGGTTCACACCAGGCTCTGCAGGCTGGTGGAGGACTCTGGTCGCTGGGTTCTGGTTTCTCCTAGCACTGACCTACCCCAGAGATGCACTCTGAAGCTGGAAACCTTCAATAAGCAAAGTTCCCAAAAAGCCAGACTCAGAGGGCAGGACTGTGGGCAGGGGGAGAGGCCCAGGCTGTTCATTCCCAGCCTCTCCTTCCCCTGCCAGGGTGGGGACAGAGTGGAATCACACCCGCCTGTGCCTCCCTGCTCCTGCTTCCCCAGGCTGTGGCTCTGTGAGGAATGGCTGTGCCCACCCTTGGCCCTGCCCTGAGGGTGCCTTCAGCAGCACAGGAAGGGCTTCAAGGCCTTGTGGTAGCCACTCCTCTGCTGCCTTCAAAGCTGTACTGGGAAATGTGCAACATTAGCAAACCATTTTAAATGGGGCATTAAAAGCTTTGCAGTGGTTAGGTGAACTCAAAGAAAAAAACCTGCACTTTCTGATGTACCCCGTATCTGTCCTTTCCTCTCTTGCCAAAGCTGCTGGATGTTGGATTGGAGGTGTATCCATATTCCCCAGGAGAAGCTGAAGATGGCACAGAGGAAGCAGTACAGATAACCCTGAGGCTCCCT